TACGTCGGACCGGTTGTTGCCGCAAAGGGTTATTGGCCAATTCAAATTGAGGTTTGTTCATTCGGGCGTAAAAAGGTTATTGCTACCGGAACTTGCCTTACAGGTTTTTTTCCTTATGAACATTTAGTCAAAATTTAGCCTTCACTGTCCCTAATAATTAAGTTATCACCTCCACTGACCTCACCCTGTTTTTTATTACTTTTCGTGAAAGTTGAAGTACCCAGGAATGTGTGCGATTTTGAGAGGTTTTGGCGATATTTTTGGGGCTTTTTGTTGATTTTTATCAGATATTGCTGAATAACTGCGGGTTTTTGGAGATGGATTGGGTCATTGGCGATACTGAGTCAAAATCGTATACTCAGGCTGCGGCATACCATCTGTGTGATATGCAATAATCATTGATTTGTTTTAGTCCAGAAGAGTGGGAAAAGCGTATAATGGTTTGGTGGGCTGACCACAAGAACACGAACAGAGAGCAGGCAATGATGGAATATCTGAAGATAGCGCAGGATCTCGAGATGTATGGCGTTAACGTTAGTTTCCGCTTCATTCTTCCAAGTGTGCGGGAAACTTTAGTTTTTTTTTTCGGTATTTTATACTGCTTCTGTGATTGGTAGGCGTTATCGAAGTCACAACTTCCATATTTCATTGTCTTTGAAAGGAGAAGAAACTCAGAAATGCCTCATGTGATAGTTCTTTGCTAGTCGCAGAAAGACCGTTGCTGATTGTATTTTCTAAAAAAAAAAAAAAGAAAAAAGAAAAAACAAGCAACTAAAGACTGTAGTTGACGATAAAAGACTGTAATTCGTGAGGGAAAAAGAAAAACATTAAGTTGTGAAAATTGTTTAAAAAACGGCATATTTTGCCAGTGTTCAGCACGATTTCGTCAATATTGTACTGAGCCTGCGCTTAGTAATTGTGAGTGAGCGAGTATAGCCCCGAAAGCTTTGTGATAAAGAAAAAATAGAATTATAGCTAGGAAGAAGTGTTTCGGTCCATAAAGTCATATTTTTCTAGTGCCACAACTGGACCTCGTCCTAGTAAATTGTTTCTACCGTTCTTAGTGCTGGCAAAGACATCCAGTATGTCTTATTTTTTGAGCAACTCTTGGATAAGGGAACAACCATCAGCTTTGCTGGTGAGCAATTGCTGCTAGCAAAGAACTGTCACTCGAACCGTCCTTGCATTTCTCGAATTTCCTAGGGGGGTAAGTTATGGAGGTTTTGGGCTAAAGGTCAATAGGCACTGAGCTGTAAATTCCCCTTTTCTAGAAATGAAAAAAAAAAAAGAGACCTGATCACTTTTTTCACTACGAGTCTGTTTTTAGTATTTCGAAATTCGCAACAAAAAAGGAACGGAGCTGTTCTTGGGCGTCGACGCTCTCGGCCTCAATATTTATGAGAAGAACGATCGCCTGACGCCGAAAGTTGGCTTCCCATGGTCCGAAATACGTAACATATCATTCAATGACAAGAAATTTGTTATCAAGCCAATCGACAAAAAAGCAAATGTAAGTTTGTTTTCCCCTGCCAAGACTTGAAATGAGAAAAACTTTGCTCCTGTTCCATTCTCGCAAGGCATAAGTTAGATTTTAACACAAAAAAGGGGTTTAAGTTAGAACAACAGTGTGGAAAATTCAAAAAAGTTGAGCTTGCGAGTGATGTAAATTGATTTTTACTGTTATTGCGTTAAAATGCAGCTGTGATGCTTTCCTTAGTAATTTTTCGGCGGTAAATTAAACTTGAAATTTTATTAATTAATGTGCTTGGAATAGTTGGATCGGCTGTAATTTACGGTCGGTTTTTCTTGTTTTACAGTTCTTAATTTCTTCAGCTTCCGTAGCCGATGCTGCATCGTTTGGTAGTCAACCTGCTGGCCGTTCCGACATTCGTTTCATCTTCTGAGGGGATTAGTAGCTCAGTGATGCTCCTGTCGGATCACTTGGTAGACCCGTAGTCGTTTTGAGATGTTGATGTGTTTTGAGAACCGTCACTTAATCCCGTACACTGCTACTCCTGGACCACGATGAGATATCTGTCTTTTCTGTGTAGGAGCTACTATATATATTTCGAAATTTTTGGGATTTTTGTGTTTTTGTTGCTGGATTATAGTAAGTAACAGAACCTGTAAATGAGATAAAATAAACAAAAAGGGCTTATTTTAAAAAAAGGTTTTTGATATTTGGTATTCTGAGGAAGATTTAGGCAGCCAGATTTGTGACAAAATACCCCATCTTTTTTTGGGACTGCCGTGCAAGACGCTTCTCTTTGAAGGTTCAAATTTACCTGTAGATTACTGTTATGAAGCAGAGGGTTAAGAAATGGAAGGGTTATCGCTGCTTGTTGAAAACTGGTTGTTTGTTTTAGGATTTTGTATTCTACGCACCACGTCTTCGAATCAACAAACGAATACTGGCCTTGTGTATGGGCAATCATGAGCTGTACATGCGCCGAAGGAAGCCAGATACGATTGAAGTGCAGCAAATGAAGCAGCAAGCGAAGGAGGAACGAATGCAAAGGCAACTTGAGCAGGAACGCCTCAGTAAGGTTAGCAGCTGAGCACAAGCACTTATTTGAATTTGAAAGTTAGTAATAGTTAAAGAGAAATTAATGTAGAGGAAGAAGGAAAATGAAGAAGAATGAAAAAAGAGGAAGTGGGAAAGAAATATAATTTTTAAATTTCTAAAAAATCATTTTTATAAAAGATTTTATAAAAGAAGGGAGATAGGATAATTTTAAATTTTTTTAAAAATTATTCTTATCTCCTCCGCTGTGTCTTGGTTAAAATTTTTCTTTTATGATAG